CAAGTGTTAAACAAATGGTGGATGATCAGTTAGAAAATGACTTGGAGCATCCTCAACGCATATTAGAAGAAGTTGATATGGAGGAATTAACAATCATAGAAAATGAGGACGAAGAATCACTTGATAAAAATGAACTAAGTGAAGAGGAAGAATTTTCGGACGAGGAAGGATACTTCGAAGACGACTAGCATGTTAGTTTTTTCAAGCGCTCTCAACTTATATTGATTTATATTCTCAATACTAACATTTTCTTTAATTTATGCAGATGACCGGTAAGGGTCGAGGTAGGTCTACGAAGGATAAGATGCCTATTCGTCATGAGGATAATGCTACACCCTCGCTTCCTTCCGCTCCACAATTGCATCCCTCCACTTCTAATGGCCGGCAACAATCTTCTAGGCACACATCTTTTCCACCACATCCATCTATTCATCAGAATATCTACCATTCACTCTCCCAGCAGTATTCTTACCATTCTCCACCATAGGGCTATACCCCACTTCCTCCACATGATCCTGCATGTAGTTACATGGGTCCATTGAGTCAGCAGTCATAGGGTCATGTGGCGATACGCCCGTCATCTGCTCCATTTGCTTCACCACCAGCTGGATCGCATCCATCTAGATTTCAGCCACCCGGATCACAACAATGGTCTGGATCGCAACATGGGTCTAGATCGCATCCATCTTCTTAAGCGACCCCGTCTCCTTCTCCACGGAGTTCATCTCCTAGCATTTCTAGACTTTACCTTCGGGATAGCAGTTCTAAGCCAGATGCCTCCCGTTCTATGAACGCTTCAGATTCATCAGAGGATGATGATCTAGAGGAAGTGCCGTATAATTGTTATCATAGGATGATCATCAAGCCCGAGGATAATGCGTAAGATTTATTTATTACTTTTTTATTTTTACTGAATTATAATAGCTAGTCTTGTTTATTTAATGTAATTGCTATGTTGCAGGTTCATACCTAATCATCGGACTACAAAGACAATCACTGAAGCTCTTGGTTGGTTCACCTTATGCAACTTGGAGTGAATTTCCACTGGAGCTCGTGGAGCAAAGTTTCAACTAATTTAAGGTTTTAATATAATTCTTATCTATTTAAGTATTATATTAATAATATTTTCATTTAACGTTGCACACTTCATTTGCAGACTAAGTGTGCCTAGGAGGACTGGCATAATAGTGCAATTCTTGCAAATTTTGTGTTCAAATGCCGTAAGTAACTACCTGATTCCTTCTGTTCTTCTCGGAAGAAGAGCAAGAAGCCTTCGTGGGTTCTACCGAATTTATGGGAGGAACTGCTGAGGCAGTGGACCACTGAGAAATTCGAGAAGAGGAGTGAACAGGGAAAAAAGGCCCAAGCATCTGAGAAGGGTGGCTCCTTGCACTGTGTGGGTGCAAGGAGCATGGGGACTGCAAGGAGACTACTGGTAATTCCTTAAAATATTTAAATCTATTTTTATCGAACTATATTTATATATTTTAATTTAGTAATCATTTTTTATTATATCTGTAGGAAAAAAAAATATGGGAGGAAGATGACTCATGATGAGTACTTCATGGAGACTCATATCCGAAAGAAGAAGGCACCGACAGATCCAAGTAGATGGGTCGTGGACCGGGCGGAAACTACGTATGTAAGTTTTATAACTACTATAACTTAAAATTAATATTTATAATATTATATAGTTAATAATTTTCTATCTTCTAAATAAAGGATCGCTACAAGACTAATGTGGAGGAGTACACTCAGAGCTTGCCACCAAATGAGCAAGGCGAACGACCACCCATTTCAGACGAAGAAGCGCAGAAGGTATGGTTGGATGTTGTCGGTGGTCCTAAAAAGGGGATAGCATACGACCTTCCAGAGAGATCATTTTAGCGCTACAAGGCTGGATTGCAAGGTATAGGGACTTCCGCCCAGGGCGAGGCAATTGATAGGTCGACTCTCTCATCTATGGAGAAGAAGATCGCAAAGTTGACATCAAAGTTTGAAGAGACAAAGGCTAGAGAACAAAAGAGAGATAAACAATTTGATACCATTCAAGTTCAGCTAGGAAAGAGGGACCAACAATTTAATATCCTTCAAGATCAGCTGGCCAATCTTCTTGCTAGTGGTGCTTTCCCGATTCCCTGGTCTTGCGAGCCTTCCCCAGATGCTAATCCTTCTCGTCGTGATCCTTCGAACCATGCTGACGATGAAGCTTCTAGTAGTGGAAATGGAAATGATGTAGTACAAAACACTCGTTGAATGATGTTTGAACTTTTAACTTGTGAAACATTTTGTTGCTGGGTATGATGTTTTGTTAATATAGTTTAGTGTGGATGAAGATGATGTTTTGTTAATATAGTTTTGATTGTTGTTATTGTTGTTATTGTTATTATTATTGGTTGAATGGTAGCAATGTAATGCTGCCATTATAGGTGATTGGTTGTTGGCAGGTGGTGCAGCTATAAAACAACTGTATTCTGCCAAAAAAATACCTAGAAAACCGACCTACGTCGGTCAGAAATGTTCATTTGATTTCCCATAAAATTAAATTTACCGACCGACTTCGGTCGGAATTTTTTATTTTAAATTTTAAATTTTTAGAGAATACCGATCGATTTCGGTAGGAATTAACTATTTTAAAAAATGAATAATTATATATTTTAACAATACAGACGGATTTCGGTCGGAATTGAATAATTTTAAAAAAAGAATAATTATAATTCCGACCAAATTCAGTCGCTAATTTAAAAATAATTAAAAATATTTTCAACAATACCGACCGAATTCGGTCGGTAACGTTATTTTGTGTCAAATAACTTGGTCAAAGTGCGTTGACAGTTATCGACCGACTTCGGTCGAAAAATATCGATCGTCTGCGGTCGTTTCCCGTTTGCGATTATTGTTTTTTCGACGAATTATAAACGGTCAGAAATCGGCTGGTTTTTGTTCGATTCCGACCGATTTCAATCGGTTTTTCAGGACGCTCTTTGGCAATTTTTTAGTAATGATATTATAGGATAGAGTTTCGGATTCTATTACATTCAAATTTGATTTGCTGGGTTGGAATTTATTTGCGTTAATTTAATAAATCTAGTAACATATATACAATATCCGAGCAAAAAATATTTGGTTCAGATAACCTCATAAACTATGGTATACATCTGCGTCTGCACTGGATAGCTCCTAAGAATAAATGGGTAAAGTAGTATATACTAAGATGTTTTTCATTTTCAAAGGCTCAAACTTAAAAAGCTGATAAATTCGCAACTACCTAACTACATACCTCGATGATCATAATGAAACACTTGGTGGTCTTAGGAAATGGACGCAAGGCATCTTTAGTATCAAAAGCTTAAAAGAATATATGTTTTAAATATCTAAAAAGGTTATCCACCATTTGCAGTCTTGAGTACACCTACTTGACTTAACTATAGAAAAGCTTAACATATAGTACTACCTAAAAACAATTCTCTACGACAATATGGCCCCTAAGAATTAGTGGAGCTAAAAAAAAAAAGAACCAGAATCTGATTAAAAAAAAAAAGGCAAAGAGAAGATAAGAGATTTATTTTGAATTATTCTATTCCCGCTTCACTTGGATATATACTAAAATACGTAGGGCTAATTCTAGTTCTCATTATGCTTTTGAAAAGGAGGCAATAATGGGTGCCCTTATTACTAGCTTTTAATTTTTGAAATGACTGAATGGTCCCTTATGCTTTCCTTGCTTTGAACAATTTGAGTGAATTGATGCCTTCTTCCTAGCTCCTCGTTTAGTTACTTAGTAATAAAGGAACTAAAAATGATCGACCTAAGACATATATATATACCTTAGAACTGTTTACACTTATAAGGGCGTAATTTCTTCAAAATTTAAGATTCCAGCTCGATTCATATACAAAATATTCTATTTGTCATTTTATTTTAAATACAACTGTGCTTAGTTAAGATAATATTTATGATAAATATAGTTTATTTTATGATAAGCATATAATCATAAGTTATAATAATTAATAAATTGACAAAAGTTTCTTAGTAAAAAATAAACCTAAATCGGACAAATATTTGAAGAGAAACAAACACTATCTTCATCACCACAACACTTAGAAAGCAATACACCAAAAATTTTATATGTCCTCATTCATTATATACAATTCAAAGATTAATACACAATCATATAGATACAAATATGCAAAGGAATAGAGAATTTGCTTATCTTAAATAGTCAATGAGAATTGCAGACTTGAAGAGGTAGGGGGAGGGGGGGGGGGGTTTAGGTTGAAACAATACTTGAGGCAGTGAGTATCGATGTAAGAGTTTTGTTCTAAAATAGAATATTTTAATGATAAAATAGTAAAAATCTTGGTCAATCTTAAAGTGCTTATAAGCTAAAAATTCATAAGCTGGAGGTGACCAGCTTATGCTTTTGGCTTATTTTTGACTTATAAGCAGCACTTGGCTTATAAGCACTTTTAACTTTACCAAGCGCGTATAGATAAGCCGAAAAGTGCTTATAAGCTAGTTTGACCAGCTTATAAGCTTAGCCAAACACCCTCTAAGTTAATAAGCAGCTGATCAAATAAATTTATAAATAATTTTTTATTTAGCTACACATTTGGTAAAATGTTGTCAAATTATACATACTGTATTTATATGTCACATGGATTAGCGACAGACAAATTCTGTAGTTAAATATCGAAATTAATCACTAATCTTACTTAGCAACGAATTAACAATAAATTATTATATTAGATACGAGCAATTTAACGATTAATTAACGATAAAGGTCATTACTAATTCCAATTATTTTAGTTATATAGAATGTGAAACATAGAATGTGACAATTTTATCAATTATTTACCACTACATTCTATGTGATTTACTTCATAGCTAAGAAATGCAAATCTTGGTCAGCCACTGTTATCCAAATAAAAATATTCCTTATTCCCCGTAAAGTAATAAAGGGATGGTCATATATACTCAAGTTCATAAGGTTCTTCTATTCGAAACAATTTGAACAAGCCAGCACAAGAAAGGAAAACCCAACACCATAAAGAAACCCTCCAAACCCCACCAAACCCCAATAACTCTCTAAGACATTCCTTCAATAACTCACACACATACACACACACTTGAGAGAAACTTAAAAGCTAGTGAATTAAGTAGCTAAAAGAACATGTATAGATTCAGTAACACAGTGATAGGTTTCTTGAATCTTTTCACACTCTTAGCATCAATTCCAATAATAGGAGCTGGATTATGGATGGCAAGGAGCAGTACAACATGTGAAAAATTCCTCCAAACACCACTCTTGTTTCTAGGTTTCATAATCCTCATAGTTTCATTGGCTGGTTTCATAGGAGCTTGCTTCCATGTTGCATGGGCACTTTGGCTATACCTTTTTGTCATGTTGTTCCTCATAGGGGCATTGATGGGGTTAACTGTGTTTGGTTTTGTGGTAACAAGCCAAGGTGGTGTAGTTGATGTGCCTGGGAAAGTGTACAAAGAGTATCATCTTGACAATTATTCAACATGGTTGAAGAAGAGAATTAAGGATCCTCAATATTGGATAACTATTAGGGCTTGTATTTTGGGTTCCAAGACTTGTGCTACTGTTATTACTTGGAGTCCATATGATTATCTTACCAAAGACTTGACTCCTATCCAGGTAAATCTTTTATTACTAACAACTTGTACAGGTGTTTTTTCTTTATTATTTTACAAATTTGGTGGTCTAATTCTAATACTCCATATGGTTTATGAAAACTTGTTGGTCTAAAATTCAACATGGTTTATGGAAGTGTCCTTTTCCTTCACTTCTTAAAAAAAAAAAGGAATTGTGTAACTTAGAAAAGAAAGAGGAAACAAGGGTGATTGTGTCTTCTTAATCAAATTACAACTTCGTATATTAAGATAATTAGTAGGATAGTACATCCAAGAAACAAATGAAATTATCTTTTCTTTATTTGTTTTTATTTTGTCTTGGTTGGAAGATCATTTAGTCATGAAGAAAAAACTTTTACCTCTTTCTTTATTGCTACTACTATTTGTTTTTGTCACTTCCCCTCCTCTGGGTGGAGGTTGGGTGGGGGTGAGGAGAGGAGGATTTATTCTTGGTAGGCGAATCTTTATTTGCAAATTAGAAGGAAGTGTGTGCGTGGGGGTTGGGGGTTGGGGGTTGGGGGTGGGGTGGGGTGGGGGTTAATGTTGTGGGAAGGAATAATATTTCAACTCTCCAAAAGGGTACAAAAATGTGTCTACATTTTACTTAATTAAATATTTTGCTTCTTTAAACGCATCTATATTTGATATACACTAAATTTATCTTTTAATTGTATTTTCTTCACATGTGTTTCTTCTAAGTTCCAACTATTTCCTTTAGTAAAATTTTAATCTTTTTGACAAGAACTTCACTTTTCTAAGGAACAAAAAGTACCAATTACCATTTCACATTTTTTTGCTGATATGTCATTAGACTAGAGGTAATTGTGACTGAATAATTATCACGATTTAAACAAACTCTTAAAAAGACGACATATTCTGCAATTCGAAGTTTCCTTAAAAGATTGAAAGAGGAAAACAATAACAGGATCAGTGTATTTTTTTTTTTTTTGCTTTAAGTTACATGCATAAAAAATGCAAAGTGTTTGATACAATTAATATAGTTTAACATATTATAAATTGTTACAATAGTTACTCAGGTTACCAATTAAGTCATATCATAGAAATTTATCTTTATATAAATATTTGGTTGTGTGAAATGGCAGTCAGGGTGTTGCAAGCCACCAACAGCATGCAACTATGGATTGACAACACTGTCACAGGACCCGGATTGTTACCGTTGGAATAATGACCCGAATTTGCTGTGCTATGAATGTGACTCTTGCAAAGCTGGAGTTCTTGAAGATGTGAGAAGAGATTGGCAAAAGATATCTGTTCTTAACATTGTCATGCTCCTCTTCCTCATTGGTATTTACTCCATTGGCTGCTGTGCTTTCCAAAACACTAAGCGGGCTGTATCCGATTACCCGCATGGCCAAAACCGTATGTCTAAAGTCCGACCCAGATGGGATTTCTACTGGTACGTCATCCTTCACCAATTTCCACCATACTTTTTTTTGAAGAGTACTTGAACAAATATATACTTGATTGTATAAATAAATTTGTACACTATCATGTCATATTTTTAATTAACTTTCTATAAAATTAGGATTCATAAATCATAATTCTGAAATTAAGCTGATACAATAGATAATCGAAGTAGTTAGTTATATTTCATGACAAATGAAGAAAACCAACTAAATGGAGGGTAAAGTGCTTTTGCTTTAGCTTGTGATTTCAATTCACCCAAACATACAAATTTCTAAAACAAATTATTATTTCCGAAATAACAACCAAGCTCCCTTTTATTTAAGAATGTATATTGTCCGATCAAATGAAGTCTTTAAATGTCTTTGACTTAGCTTTATTCCTATTGCTTTTTTGGTTTATAGGTGGAGATGGTGGCACGACAGAAGACGTCAGCTTTATTAGACCAAAAACTTGCCAAACTCTTCGTTTAGTGCACATCGTTCTGTAAAAGTTAAGGATCAAAAGGGATGTCACTTCTCTTTGTTTTCTCTTCAATCTCAATGAATATTTCAAGGAATTATTCCACAGCTTTTCTTTGTTTATCACAGCTTGTTTTGATCGCCTTTTCTGTACAAAGAAAAAGATTTTACTAGTTACTACTACACTTTGTTTCCCATTCTACGCTTTCCTTTCCACTTTTTATCTTTATTCTTTAGTCTAGTCCTTTCTCTCTCTCTCTCTCTCTCTTTTTTTTTTTTTTTTTTTTTTTTTTTTTGCAAATAAAGAATATTTATACTGCAAAATACTTTCGGAAAATATGTGCCTGCTAGACCCAGAAGTATAGCTAAGTTGAAGCAAGGGGTTAAGTTGAATCCTCTGTGAAAAATTATAATGTACGATAAAGTAAAAAGAATTTTTTTTATATATTTATTAGGTTTTTTTTTTTTTGGTCTTGATATATTTATCAGGTTGAATCCCCTTGACAGAAAATAAATTTCTAGTGAAGTGGCAAAGAAAGTTCAAAATAGTTTTAGGACATAAGTTCAAATCCCAGATGTGATTTTGTATTATTTTGGATCCTCTTGTATAACTTCCTCCAGTGGCTACCCTAGTAGACGTCCGGCGAGTTTAGCAACAGTTTAATTTGAACTTACAGGTAAATCTTTAATTTAAATCTCTGTGAACACAAGATTGGAATTATAGTAGAGTTACAAATAGTTACAACTTCATCCTATACCACACAATTGAAGGATTAAATTTTATCAAAGATTTTTCTCCGAAAACCTAAAACCATGGCACGCATGATTCTCTCCTTTCTGTTCGATTGCAAGCCAATCAATTTTTAAATTCTTTTTCGTTTTCAGAAGAAAGTTCTCAAATACATTGAGAATCTTATCATGGTGACATGACGGAAACAGAAAAGTTCTAGAATAGACAATTTACTACAAAGGGAGATAGAAAAAGAGAAAATTGCTTTTTTTGTTTCCTTTATTTTTTCTTGTGTAGAAGTTGTTAATTGAAGCGCTTAAGATTGAGACAAACACGATCGTCTTGTGTTCTTATTTTATTTGAGAATTTCGATATGGGCAAATCACTTTTCATTTTGAGTAAACGTGTTTACCGAACAGGTTGGACCGGGTTGATCATGGGAAACAATAGTCTGCCCGGTTAGTGTGACAAGCTGGGCTGGAGTTCCGGGCTGGTAGTTGGCCGAGAAATTCCGGGTTTAGGTGGGCCCGTTCGGGATTGGGCCTATCCGGGTCGAACTGGGCCAGCTTTTTTAGTGTATTATAATTTCTTGTTCAATGTAATTGATACTTGAGTGTGTACAAACTTCTAAATTATAAAATAAGTATTTTAAGACATAAAATTAAAATTTAAGCTTTAAAGTCTTAAATTTGAAATTTAAAAATTGAAATTAAGTGATAATATTTAATTATTTAATAAGACCAATATATAAGGAAAAAATTTCAAAGGCTTTTCATTTTATTGCATAATAATACTTCGAATTAACTTGCAAGTTCTATTTTGAATTTTTTATTTTTGCACTTGCAAATTAAAATTTACAATAATTAATAGAAAGAGTACATCACTTGCTTTGCATCATTTCGTAAGTTCTTCCATGTCAACATGTGGTTCTTGATTTCCGGTATTGCTTGAATCGAAACGATAAACCATTATATCTCCAATTTTTGGTCATTCGATTCATCTACCTCTTCACATCCTTGATTTCGTCGTTATGATCTTATCCAATCTCTGAAGCACACTAGAACTTCCAAAGCGTTGCTACCCAATGAGTGACATGTATCTCCTAGATGCTGCCTTGCTTGGCTTAATGCCCTCTCTTATGCAATTGTTGAAATCGGCACATTTAATACGTCTCGAGCCATGGCCTAAAGAACAGGGAATTGATTTGATTTGGTCTTTCACCAAGCCACTGATAGAATTTCCTTTGTGCGGGGTTCTATTGCCTTTTGCAAGTAGAATTGGAGTTCATCAACATTTCTGCTACCGGGCTGTTGATGCTCACTTAGTGTAAATCAAATTAAATAATTTTCAATACTGTCATCTTCCTCCATAGCACCAGATGCGGATGCGGATGTAGAAACTGAATTTGAAGGAATATTTACATTTGCATCTACAACAGAAGAAGCACCAACAACGTTAGCATAATAATTATATAAAGCTTGTAAATTTTTTCGTTGATCAGAATTGCAAGTGCTAATATTAGGTATTTCAGTTGGTCTAATATCCATATAGACATATAAAGCATTGATTAATTGACGACAAGTAGCCATCTTGATAGAAGGATTTAAAATAGCACCAATTAGGTAAATAAGGGGAATTGGATAAAAATATTTCTTAAATTTTTCTAGCATAGATTCTACAACAGAACTATATCCTTCTTTCTTCTTGAAATTATGGAGCGAAAGAGAAATTTTAGCCATAAATACTAAACCATTTGCATTAGCAGGATAATAAGCTCCAGAAAACTCAAGTGTAGCTACATAAAATTATTGTAACTTTTTTATAACATATTCAATGACATTCCAAGTACTAGATGTTGACAAACGATTAGGATAGGTACAATGAGAATTAGCAACTTTAGTTATAGGCATTCTATATTTCTAACAGAATCTTAGGAATAAATAAGTATAATTCCACCTAGTAACTATTTCTTCAGGCATGAGTCTTGGTCTTAGTCTATATTGTTCACACTTATCCTTAAATACATTAAATCTAGCACTGCTATTATTTTCTTCAATTACACTAACAAATCTTCTAACTAAAGTAATCTCATTTTTAAATAATTCAAGGCCACTCTTAACAATAAAATTATAAATATGACATGCACACATAACAGAAATATTTCAAGAAGTGGTGGGGTTAATTGTAATTTTAATAGTGAAATAGCAGCATTATCTTTAGAAACATTATCAAAAGATATACACAAAAAAAATTCTTCAAGATTAAAAGTACAACAAGTTCATGAATAGTATTACTTATAAATATTACAGTATGACTTTGATCTTCATCATATTTAAAATCAATAATACGTTTTTGTATACAAAAATTATCATCTATCCAATGGCATGTAATAATCAAATAATCCTTTTCATTAACAACACGACCAATATCAGAAGTAAGAGAAACTCTACAAGGAAGACTAGCGAACAAATAACGGATATATATTACATATTATCCAAAAAGTGTAAAGGTATCAGCTCTACAAGTACTCCTACGAATACCTTTAAATAAAGGTTTATAAATTCTTTGAATATAAGTAACAAGATATGGTGAAGAAGTAAAACTAAAAGGTAAACAACCTAAAATAATTATTTTAGCTAATTCTTCCCTATCTTTCAATATATCGTATTTACCTAATAAATCACTAGTACCGGGGTTAAGTTTTTGTTGGCCAGATTGTTCATCAGCGCCCTATACAATAGGGTGGTTATCTACCATGTGCCTACGAAGTTGGCTCGTTCCCCCTTGCATACCTTCGGTCTCATTTTTATAAACTTCATGACAAATATTACATCTTACATAATTATTATCTTCTCCTAGTCTAGTAAAAAATTCTTAATACTTACTTCTCGATGTTCGATTCTTACCTATATTACCGCAACCGCCACCCGTAGTGATTTCAGTAGTAGTATCAGGTATAAGTGGTGGTGTTTCAAGATTATCAGGTAACTCAATATTATCAAAATTATCATCTATACCATAATCTTCTTGTAGTTTCTCCAAAATTATCATCGTATTTACCTAATAAATCGCTAGTATCCAGTTAAGTTTTTGTTGGCCAGATTGTTCATCAGTGCCCTATACAATAGGGTGGTTATCTACCATGTGCCTACGAAGTTGGCTCGTTCCCCCTTGCTTACCTTCAGTCTCATGTTTATAAACTTCATGACAAATATTACATCTTATATAATTATTATCTTCTTCTAGTCTAGTAAAAAATTCTTAATACTTACTTCTCGATCTTCGATTCTTACCTATATTTCTGCAACCCCCACCCGTACTAATTTCAGTAGTAGTACCAGGTGTAAGTGGTGGTGTTTCAAGATTATCAGGTGACTCAATATTATCAAAATTATCATCTATACCATAATCTTCTTGTAGTTTCCCAAATTATTTTTCGAATGTAAAGTAACTCTAAGTAAATGGGCGAGTCCTAGGGTTAGCTAATCCCTTTGGAAACATTAAAGAACAAGAATAATTAAAGAAACAATAACTCACTTCAATATAAATAAAAATCGTTCAATACATAAGCACAACATGATTTTTAATCCACACTTTAAATATGAATATTCCCATAAACAAGATTTAAGTGTTGGAAGAAATACTACACACATAGATATACAGTACAAAGCAAGAAAATGAAAAAATGAACATAAATGGGTTAGAAATTCTTAACCCAAAGCTTCAAATCTTCATGATCAAAATTGTGTGCGCAAGAACCCTATCTCCAAAATGTGTTTTCTAGTCAAGATACTGAAAATTAAGCCAAGATGTCCAAAGACCGCCAAAGAAGTGTTTCCAATAAGCTAGGCCGTGTATTTGTAGGTTTGCAATAGAGAAAATGTGAAATACCAAGACTGTCCATACCTGAAGCCTGTTGACCGCACCTGCGGAAGAATCCTCGCAGATGCGAAACCACTGGAGCATTTTGCACTATTTCAACTCTCTTTTGCTTAATTCCACTTCATTTGATTTCAATTCTCTTCAAAACTTCATTTCCCTGAAAATCTAGCAAATACACACCATAAACAACCTCATATAATAATTAAAGGACACAAAATCTAAAGAAAATAAACTAAAATAAATGGTAAAATCACCATTCATCAGTCAACTCTTCCAAGTTAAGCTTAAATCATGAAATTCATTCTTCCAAATCGATTCCGAATAACCTGAAAACCAAAACAGACGATTCACACAAGTCATAATACATCACACGGAGCTACTCATGCCCTCAAACTACCGAGCGAAGTGCAAGTGCTCAAAAAGACCGATCGGGTCATTACATTTTCCCCTACTTAAACATACGTTCGTCCTCGGACGTGCCAATGGTTGTTCCTAAGCCTCCAGACCGCTGTGTAACCTTACCATGCACATACCCGGGGGTGATCCTACGTCACCCTACTCCATATACGCCTGACGACGCAACCT